TCCTGCCGGCCGCGAGGCTCCTCCAGCTCCTGTTCCGGGCAGCCTCGAGCCAGTAACTCCTCACGCCTGGCACAGCGCCGCGCCTCCACCTCCCCTGAGGCGGTGAAGTTCTGCACCGGAGAAGAGGTGTGTCCGAACCCTAGCACGCTCAGCCCCTGCCACCCCCTCCAACCAGGTCACCCCAGTGGTCTGTTCCTCTGCTCTCAGTTCACTCCAAGAGCCCCTCTGGTTCCCTCCCCTCTCTTCTACAGCTATCCTTGCACTCTGGCCCTTTCTCTCTTGTCAGAGCCTCCACTTCCTAAAGCAGACTCTTCCCCTCCCCTTACCTCCCCTTCCCCCAGCCACCCATCCTTCCCCACCCGCTACAACCACAGACTTCCTGTTGAGATCTCAGGGACCTCACTACCACAGAAAGAGTCTAGTGTCCCTTGCATGCTCAGACCTGAATGGGAGGGAGGTCAGATTAAGACCCACAGTTCCTGCAGAGGAGGACAGGGTCAGAGAGGAGAGGCCTTCCTGCAGTGTGTCTGGTACCCCTGTGCTGACAGGGAAGCCGCAGGGGAAGGAAATGGTTAGGGTGGCTTCTCAGCTGGCCGGGGTGCCAGCCCCTGGTCTAGGGATTGGAGAAGGCAGGCACAGACTTGACTGTCCTGAGGCTCATCTTCCCAACCGCAGCCGGGCATCTCTGCCTCTCGCACTACCTGCCTTTTTTCTGGACCTCTCTAACTGTCCTCTGAATCTACACCCCCCTCCCCCAGTTGGTGCCTGCCCGGATCTAACTCCTGACCTTCCTATGAGAGACATGGTGGTCCTGCCCCACACCCTGCTCAGTAGCCCTGGGGGGCTGTACTGTGAACCCAGCCTCTTTAAGGTATAAACAAAGAACAGCCTTGTGTGATCAGCCAAGGAGACTTCTCTGCAGCTCCTTAGCCACTTAGGAAGCTTGAGGCTTCCTGCACACTCCCACCACAAGCCCACAAGCCTGTGGAAGCCATTCCTTCCCCTTTCCAGTCCAGCTACAGGCTACTTACTCCACATCCAGAAAATAAGACTCAAAAACTCAGGCACTTTCTGCTACAGAGTGGAATGTACTTTCCCCAAATTCCAATGTTAACCCTCTGTGTGTTGATATTTAGAGATGGGGCTCTAGGGAAGTAATTAGGTAGGCTTAGATGAAATCCTGAGGGTGGGCCCTTTATGGTGGGATTAGTGCCCTTGTAAACAGAAACACCAGAGAACTTGGTCCTCTCTCTCTCTCTCTACTATGTAAGGACATAACAAGCCAGGCAGAGGACCCTCACTGGGGAACCAAATCAGCCAGCACTTTGATCTTGGCCTTTGCAGCCTCCCAAATTATAAGAAATTATAAATTCTTCTTGCCCCAAATGGTAGCACATTCCTGAATTCCCAGCACATTGGAGGCTGAGACAGGAGGACTCCAATGATTTCACGGCTAACCTGGGTTGCATAGTGAGTTCAAGGCCAGCCTGAACTACATAATAAGACCCTGTCTGAAGAAAAAAAAGAGAGGGGGGGGGAAAGGAAAGGAAGAAAGTCCTGTAACTTAAACCACCCAGTTCTTATGGCACCCTGAAGTAGAAAACACACTTTCTCACATGTATAGATACACAGCAGGCTGTTCTACTGATTTACAAGCATGGACTCCCACAGGAACATGCTCCTCTGCAGTCAGGGTCACAAGTCCTCCACACACACAAATAAACAAATACAAACCTAATCGTGCATTCAAAGGAAACTTAGAAGCATGTGAATGCACATTCACACAGCCCCACATAGCAGTTCTGGGTGCACACAGTCACACCTGAGACTGCAGAGTGTACCCAGAAAAATCACACATGTGACCATAGAGCCACACACATAGGCCGTGCAAACACAGACACATGGCTTAAAGGTTGCTTGTCTTTACCAGTTGTTTGCACCATGCGCAGCTTGGATGTGAGAGGATGCACTTCCGGCAGGTGTGGGCTGGCTGGCAGGACCCTGTCAGGGACAGGTCAGGATCCCCCCACTCTGTGGCCTCCCCTGGGGATGAGATCTTGGTGTCCAACTCACTCTCACCTCTGCCTAGCATCAGCAGGAAAACGAGAGGCACTGACAAAACCATCGTGGCCTGTACAAAAATATAAAGGAGATACACGGGTCCTCAGGACCTCCAAGCTCTCAGTCCTCTAAACTCCAGTGTGGTTGCCACTCCCAAATCTTTATCTCTCCTCAGTTTCACATCCCCCTGTGGATTCAGCAGTTTCTTCAAAATGACAGGAAGGGGTTGAACCAGGCCAGGATAGCAGCCTTCAAGAAGACCTGTCCTTCCTGTGCTGAGACTTCACATGGACACAGTGGCACCAAAAGTTCTGAGGACTGGACCTGCGGCATCAAGGGCTGTACTTGAGTCTCCCCCTCAAGACTTTACACTGAAGTAGAAGTAGAACCAAACAAAACACACAACATCTGTCCCATTGTCCCACTGTCACACCTCAGTTACTCACTGGCTGAGTGGCTCCTCAGGCTTCCTCTCTGAGCCTCAGTCTCTGCATCTGTAAAGTGAGGGAGTTGAATAAACAATCTGACTAATCCAACAGCCTCCACAGTTTATAGTCGGATTCTAAATAAGAAAAGCAGGGGCGGGGGACATGGATCAGTGGTGTGTTGCCTACCTTGCAAACACAAAGTCCTGAGTCTGATCCCTGGTACAGTGGGTCAGTAAGTAGGAAGGCAAATTTTAAAAGGCTGGAGCAGATGGAGTGTGAGAGTTAGGGAATGGTAGTTTTATTTGATTGACAAAGAATGAAAAGGAGAACTTCCTTTCTTGTTTGTTTAGCAGCCCACTGCCTTAACATCTGAGCTACAGGGTCTCATTAAGTTGCTAAATTGCCTGCACTGGGCCCAAACTTGCTATCCTCCTGCCTCAGTCTCCAAGAATATGCCACTAGGTCCGGTAAAGAACAGGATAAGAGAGGAAGACCAAATTTGGTAAAACTTTCTGTACCTTTGCACAAAGGAACTCTAGATCATGAAAGAGTCTGGACATAGGATAATTCCTGGGAAGACCTCTAGGAAAACCATGCCAATTCCTGATTTTTAAAAATTTAATTAGAGCCAGACATGGTGGCACATACCTGTGATCCCATTACTCCAGAGGCTGAGGAAGGAGGATAACTGTGAGTTCGAGGCCTGCCTGAATTACACAGTGAGACTCTAAATCAATTTTTTTTTTTAAATTAAAGGGCTGGAGATGTAGGTCAGTGATGGAATGTGTGATTGTCATTCACAAGGCCCTGGGTTGGATCCCTAGCACCACAAAATGACAACAAAAGCTAGGCATGAAGCCAGGTGTGGTGGCGCACACCTGTAATCCCAGCACTCAGGAGGCTGAGGTAGGAGGATCGCTGTGAGTTCGAGACAAGCCTGGGCTACATAGTGAGTTCCAGGTCAGTCTCAACTACATAGTGAGACCTGTCTCAAAAAAACAAAACAAAACAAAAATAGCTAGGTATGGTGGCACATCCCAGCACTCTGGAGGCTAAGGCAGGAAGATTCTGGGTTTGAGGTCAGCCTGGGTCACATAGTAAGACCCTGTCTCAAAAACAACAAACAAGGCTGGGGATTTAGCTCATTGGTTCTGTCCCCGGCCTGACAAGGGCAAGGTCCTGAGTTTGATCCCTGGTACCAAAAAAAAAAAAAAAAAAAAAAAAAAAAAAAAAAACCCCCACCCCTGAGTAAAAAACCCATCCCCATGCTTCAAAAAACAAAATTTTAAATCCCAAAGGGTTTTTTTTTTTTTTTTTTTTTTTTACAGAAATAGAAAAACTAATCCTAAAATTCATATGGAAGTGCACAGGATCCCAGACAGTCAAAACTATCTTGAAAAAAAAAATTGGAACACTCATACTTCCCAGTTTCAAAATTTATTATAGGGCCAGGAATTTAGCTCAGTGGTTCAGCCACCTACCTCAAAAGCACAAGGTCCCAAGTTTGATCCCCAGTACGAAAACAAAAACAAAAACAAAAAAACTTATGCCAGTACCACTGTATTGATTGATGTGGCTTTATAATAAGAGCAGACATAGAAATCAATGGAACAGAGTTGGGTTTCCAAAAGTAAGCCTGTCCATGCATGGCCAACTGATTTTTCAACAAGGAAGCCAAATATTTCAAAGGGAAAATAGTAGTTTTCATTAAATGGTGCTGGGAGAGTTGGATGGTCATATGTAAAAGAATGAAGTTAGATCCCTATAGTATACAAACTTAATTGGAAGTCAATTTGTTGTTGTTGTTGTTTTTGTTTTTTGAGACAGCGTCTCACTATGTAGTTGAGACTGACCTGGAACTCACTATGTAGCCCAGGCTGGTCTTGAACTCACAGCAATCCACCTGCCTCAGTCTCCCAAGTGCTGGGATTACAGGCATGTGCCACCATGCCTGGGTTGAAAGTAAATTTTTAAAAAATGTAAGTGTAACTGCTGAAACCATAAACTCTTAGAAGAAAATATAGAGAAGAATATTCATGAGGTTGCATTTGGTAATGGATTCTTAGCTATAACACCAAAACACAAACAAAAAAAAGAGAAACAGATAAACTGAACTTCATCAGTAAACTGAATCATAAACTGAATTTACCTTTGTACATCAAAGGACATTATCAAGAGGAGGGCCAGGTACAGTGGTACTGTAATCCCAGCTATTTGGGAGGCTGAGGTGGGAAGTATACAAGTTCAACCCCAGCCTGGGCAAC